TGTTTTTTTGCAATTTCTTCTGTCATGTTAGCTATGGCAACATGACTTTTTATACTTGCCTGTTTTAGCCTATCTTTCATGGCCATAACAAAGCAGAAAAGAGGATAGCTGATGTGATGGGGGTATAACCCCAGGTGAGGCAGGAGGAACAGGAGGTCAGGCTCATCCTTAATTATACAGTGAGTTTAAGGCTGTCCTAAACTACACAAGACACCCTCTAAATAAAGAAACAGACAGACAGACAGAAAGGGGGTTTATTTAGCTTAAAGTTTGCTGAAAGTCCAGATAGCATGGTGTAAGGTCTGATGTGGGTTCACTTTGGTTGTATCTCTTCCTAGACAGAAAGTCATGATGGGAGTGTGTATGGGAGGAGAGGAGAGATCAGGTCCCAAAATCAGAAGCCAGAGAGCAAGAGACTGGGGTCCCATAGGACCTTCTAAGGGCCCTCACCTAACCCAAGAACCTTTAATTAGGCGTCATTGTTGGAGTAATGTTCTTGTGCACTGTCTAAAGGTTGTCTTTGTCTATTCAAGTGCTGATTTCTGTACCAGCAGAGAGCTGAGTAGACTGGGCTTTAGTATTGTTAAGTATCACCTGTCTCAATGTTTTTCAAACGGCATTCTCCATCACCTCTGATTGGTTGACTGAAGAGCTGACCGGCCAAAAGCTGAGGCAGGAGAGAATAGGCAGGACTTCCAGAGAGATTGGAACTCTGGGGAAAGAATCTCAAGCGGGAGGAAGTCAGACGCATGAAACCGAGGAGAGGCAGAGAACCACCTGGCAGAACACAAATAAAATAAAGGTTGTAAGAGCTGGTTGTAAGAGTGAGCTAAGGCCTAAAGCTCTTATAAGTAAACATAAGCCTCTGCATCATCATTCAGAGCTGGGGAGGGTATAGAAAGTCCATTCGGTTTCACACCATCTCCCAACATCATTACTTTGAGCACCAAGTTTCCAACACATGACTTTTATGGGTATGTTTAACCCTTAGCACTGCCCAACTCCACTCTGCCACTAAGAAGAAAGCTGGTCCCCGGGTGACACTTATCCTGTGGTCACGGTCACATTGCTATGAGCTCCCAACGCCTCCGCATCCCTTGAGATTCTGTTGGAGAAACAGATCACACCCTCTGTCTACCTCTCCCAACTTGGAACACGCAGCAGTTCTAGGATGCTCTGTCCTGCGCTATCCAAATGCTAATTTTAAGAAAATAAGGTGGTTGGGCCTGGAGATGGCTCAGCAGTTGGGAGCGCTAGGTGCTCCTGAGGAGCACACAGGTTTGATTCCCAGCACACACCTGATGGCTCTGGCTCTATGGGATTGAGTATCTCTGACCTCTTTAGCACCTTCACTCAATACCTGCACACACACACACACACACACACACACACACACACACACACACACCCACCACACACACACACACACACACACACACACACACACACACACACACACAC